AGACGATATTAGGCAAAATTATCGTTTCACGCTTTCCTTTTATGATCCGCAACCAAAACGAAGAAAAAGGGAGGAGAAGAGAAGAAAAAAAAAAAAGAAAAGAAAAAAAAAGAAAAGAATTACAAAATAAACACGTTACATCATCGCGATGAAATTTCATCGAACGAGCGCAACGTTCATCGAAACAACGTTTCTTCAATTCTTCCTCGCGTAAAACTTTCTATTCGTGGCGACGTCAACGAGAAACACGAGCATTCCACGATGCTTCGTCCTAATGTGCCTGTACACGTTCGAGATCTCTTTCGAGCGCATCTCGCAGTATGGACACTTAAACCTCGGTCCTTGGCCACACCCGTACCTCACGTGCCTTCGAAGGTTCGTCACCCTGGTGAATCCGCTCGGGCAGTTAGGGCAGCAGAATTTCTTCGACTCGTTCGAGCGGTGGCCCGACTCGTGGTAACCACCTCGGTCAACTGAAACAGAAAACGCAGCAAGATACTCGCGCACAATCTATCAGTCAGATGCATTTATCGTCGTAGAGAAAAAAAAAAAAGAAAAAAAAAATGATCGACGGCGGCATTTTTTCATTGCGTGCAACAACTTATACGAGATACGTATAATTCGAATTGTAGGCGCGCGAAAAACGATCGAAAAGAAAAAAAAAAAAACTGGAAAATAAAATCTTGTAAAATTTTTCTCGCGTCAATACGCACATTTTTTCTTTTTTCTAAATTCTCTCACTTGCCGTACGTATACGTTGAATGACAATGTTGTCCGCCTGGAACATCGATCCCGTCGGACAACGGGCGTAGGCGTGGAAACGACACTGACGAGAAAACTGCGAGAAAAGCGTGGATAGAATAAACGGTTATAAATACAAACGGTTAAGAGGTGAACATTCAGTTTTATTTGATTCAACTTGCTCACTCGCGTACAAGTCTTTCCGTTACACCCAAACGTCGTATGGATGATATTTATACATGTATCGATAAGAAAACACGATCGAACGAACCGGTCGTTTCATTGGCCATCGAAATCGAATTGACTACCTTTCCTCTGAAAGGTAGAAGAGAAATATATTATTATATTTGATCTTAAAATTAATATCACGTATTATAATATCGATGGTGATTCTCGAGAAACTTAAACTTAAACTTTTGATTGAATTTCACGCGACACGATGTCAATAAATAACAAAAATTGAAGAAGATCCAATCAGATTTCGTTCTATCTCGATTACTTAAAAAAAAGAGAAAGAGAGGGCGCTCCGACTCCTCGCCTTTGTTTAGTTCCAATATGGCCGCCTACGACCAAGAACGCGAAAACGACGCGATACGAGAGAAAGTATTCGATAGGGCAGCAACGTTGGTTCATTGATTCATCATTTGGAAACTCAACGAGTTTGGTGGCGTGCCGTGAATGTCGATAACGTAAACTTTCGAATTCGCGTGTTTCCTTCTGATATGCGTGTAAATGTCGGACGTCTTTTTACTTCTGTGCTGGCAGTAAGGGCACAGAAACCGTGGCTCTTGTCTGCACTCGTATTTCAAATGACGGGTAAGACTCGCTTTCTGGCCGAAGCTACTCGTGCAATTCGGACACGGGAACCTTGTCTTTGCCTTGGTAACGGATGTTCGATTTGAACGAAACAGAAGCCAGCAGAACCTAGAAGGAGAAAAATCTGTCGTTAAGATCAACAACAATCCTATTTTCTTTTCGAGCCGGAAAATTGGTGAAAAAAGATATAATTTCTAACAACGAAGAACGATTTCTTATCTCTAAATGATTTTTCTTTTTTTTTTTTTTTATAACGAGCGATTCACAATCGAGGACAATTTGAAAATTAATAATATCTTTTAATCGCATCTATCACCTTTTTCAAAGAGGGGAAAAAAAAATCACCTCCTTTCGCTTGAACAAACATCGACTTTCTTCTCGAGCATATTTTTCGAAAACAACTGTCTTTCTCTGATCTCAAATAGAAGAAGAGGAAGAAAAAAACGAAACGTAATTCGAAAACTTTGACTCGTTGTTAGCACGTTTGCGTAATAATCAACACAGATACCCTGAAGCCAGGAGACACAGGAGAGGGGAAGAAAAAAAGGCTTGGTTGCATGCGAAACGTCGACAAAAATCAAACCTTCTTCTTCTACGGCCGATAACTTTACGCGGAACATTTGCCTCGAATCGAGGAAAGGAGACGAGAAGGATCCTTCGTCCACCTCGAATCTCGAAAAGTGTATCTCCTCCTCTCGTCCCTGCTCGAATTTGTGGACTCGTTGCAAACTCGTGTGCGTTTCTCACTGAAGAAGTTGCCACGATTGGAACACATCGATCACGTAGACATCCCTGTTCTTGTGCTTCGTCTTGATGTGCTTTCTTATGTCGGTCTTCACTTTGCACTTGTACTCGCAATAAGGGCACTTGAATCGTGGCTGCTGACCGCACTGATATCGCAAATGGCTGGTCAAATTCCTCTTCCACGCGAACACGCTTCGACAATTGGGATTCGGACAGGCGTACTTGCTCGGTTTCATTAACCAGTTGCCGCGTTGACGATGATCGTCCACACGCAACGTGGATCCTTTGCCCCCTGAAAAACAACCAATTGTTCGCGATCAAACACGTTCCGGATGGGGGAGGGAGAGGGGGAGAGAGAGAGACACCTGGTTAAGATAATAATCAAGCGCGAGAGATAGGATGAAGCGAACGATCGCAACAACGTGAACCGATCTCCGTTCCTTTGATCGGGGATCATCGGTTTGGAATTGCAATTGCAGGCGTTTCAGGTGTTACGAGGAGCCAAACGTGTAAACGTTTGGCAAGAATTTTATTCCAACGTTTTGTCAACGTTTTGCTCGATCAGTTTCACCCGAGGATCGGATGACAATGTTACACGAGGTATGTATGTATATCACTATACGTGTTTTCACTATATACTTGCTCGCCAAAAAGAAGAAGAAGAAGAAGAAGAAATCGTTCTTTGATCGATTGGATAATAATTTGGAAAATTATTGTGCTCGATCGAGGAACGATTCGCGAACAAGATTAAAATCAGGGATAAAAGTTATCGAGACATCGTCGTGACACTCGATCTAGCTGGCCAAGCATTGGCCAAGCTTGGGATACGATTCGAGATCAGTTAAAAATATTATAGCGATAACGCTTGCTTGAAAATACCTTGTTAAGATCGTGAGAGTCTTAAATTCTTAATCAAAATATCGTCTGTAATTCAACCTGTATTCAAAGAAACGTAATTAATCGTACAATCGTGAAACAAGTAACAATTACAATCGATGTAATACAATCACCAGAACGTAATCGCTGCAAATTGTCTCTTACCACTTGGTTTCGAACAATATTGGGAGCAGGGGGAGGGGGAAAGACGAGTCGTGCATTTTATTCGAACGAAAATACAAATTTAAATTAAATTGAAAACACGGTCGTTTTAACTTGTCGTGGACGCGAACAGATCGACCACGTAAATGGCCAAACCCTGGTGTTTCCTTATTATGTGTTTGTTTACGTCCCCCTTAACCTTGCAACAATACGCGCAATACGGACACTTGAACCGTGGCTGAAGGCCGCACTCGTATCTCAGATGTCTGTTCAAATTCCTTTCCAATTAAATGATTTGGCGCAATTCGGTGTTGGACACGTGAACACGGCCGTCCTCACTTTCATTCGCCTCCGTTTCGTCGATTTATTGGCCGTATACTCGGCCGATAACCTGCCATCCGCGAACGTCCACCAATTCCCCGTGCCGTTACCTGTAACAAACGAGCAGACGAAATTTTCTCATGGCGATGATATCGCTCCCATAAATTTTCTCTTTAAATTTTCGCTTATAATGTCGATAATAACGCGTGTTATTATTATTTTCTTGATATAATTCGTGATAGAAACGTTCAGTTTTTATTGACGTAAGAATCGATCGACACAAAATGGAAATAATATAAAAATGTTGGTAAAATTGTTGGAGGAGTAGGGATCGCGAAGATTCGTGTGAATTGGGATACGAGATAATTTTTGAAAGCGTTCCTCTTCTACGAGATTTGTTCGTGAAACCAGATTTCAAAATTCTTTCGAAAGTAACTTTACAAAAGCAATCGTAACTGGTTCGATCGTGACGTAATTTTTGTCGCTATGTAACTAGCCATGTTTACCTAACCTATAAATTCTTGGACTTTCGTGGAATATAATAACTAATCCACGCGGATTGAAAACTTTTAATCTTGGCTATCCACGGGAAATATCGCAATCCATTATGCTCTATTCATTCGCAGAAAATTTTCGTCGCGAAAAAATACTCGACGAATAATTATCGGCATCGAAACAATTCTCATGGAAGAGATAACTTTAATAAAATCGGACGATCCGTATCCCAATCTGTGCGCGGATGAATCGAGTAAAAACTAATGCTAACTAAGTGTCCAAAACGTAAATGCTGCAATTCTTATGGACTCTCTTGATATGCCTGCATATGTTCGCCTTCCATTTGCCACGGTAGTCGCAGTGTGGACACTTGAATCGCGGCTCTTGGCCGCACTCGTTCCGCAAATGCCTCTTCAACGTGCATTTCCAGACGAATACGCTCGGGCAATTCGGGCACGGGAATTTCTTGTACGAGTTGTCGAATCGTAATCGTTGCTTCTTGTAGGAATGGTTCGCGTAATACGGAAAATCTGAAAGCAGAATGAAACAATCGGGGTGATATATTGTGAACGATGTGCGAACAAGGGACAATTTATTCCCTTTTTTTCAGGAGTTGAAAATTGAACGTCGATCGACGTCCTTTCGATGATTCTTCGACGATTCGATGGAAGACAACGCAACACAATGGGATCGAGTGTTTTTTTTTTTTTTCACGAACATATTGTGATTTGGATGATATATTTCGATGCATGTCCATAAGACGTACGTACAAGATGTGGCACTAATTAATCGCCGAGATATTTGTAATTGTAATAATTTAACAAAAAAAGAAATGATGTTAAGTGAAGAATTAATTGGTGTAAAAAAAAAATTGTGATCGTTTTATTTTATCGTATATTTTTCTTTTATAATACTTTTAAAATAGAGAGGAATTAATTCAGAATCATATCATGTACATTTCAATTACTAAATCTTGAAATAATTTTATTTATTTATGATGTATTACAATTAATTATCGAGATTTATTTTTGTTTTTGACGATCAATTAATGGATAATTCATAAATGAATAAAATTATTTTGTATTTGAAATTACACATGACAAATATGATGTGTTATAAATTAATTAATTTTTTCAATTTTAAAAATGGAAAAAAGAATATGCAAAGGAAATTAAAAAAAAAACACAAAATGATTAAGCTTTCATAAAAGTTAGAATCATTT